CTGTATAACTTGAGCATTACATATATATATATATATACATACATATATATATATATGTGTGTGTATATATATATATATATATATAAATTCTAACCCATTAGGTTAAATAACAATGTAACTTCCCTACTGATACAAACTTTAAAATGCTATCTAAGATTAAATGTAAAGGCTTGTACATTTATTCATTAGCTTAGCACATTCAGTAAATCTGTATCATGAATGCAGTTCTGCCACCAATGACTTCAAGGAGAACCCACAGGGTAAATGCCTTCTCCTGACCATAGATGAAGCCTAGAACAAATACCAATCACGTACACAATTATCTCCTTAGACACTGGGCAAATCCAATATATGAGAAACTTTCTGGGGAAAAAAGCTTCAAGTATGTACTTCCAAACCAAATCTACATCGTTACTTTAATGCTGTATCTCTCTCAGCTATTAAAGTACGCTGCTGTCATTGTTCCCTGAAAGAAACTACTTTTGACTTGGCCTGCCAAAAGGTTTGTATCCTCCTCCCTTCTCTTTTGCCACATCTCCCTTAATTTCTCCTCCCAGGTCCTCATCCAGCTATTCTACTTCTGCCAGGCACCTAAGAGTTGGAAAAACCCTCCCTCAGGTTCCAAGTTAAGAACATCGAGTTCTGGTAAACAAAATGTAATGAATGTCTCAAATACCTCTATTACTCTAACTTAAAAACAGAGGCAAGCAAACCACATAAAATCTGCTATTAAATCATAATTTTTTAAGTGGTAACTGGTACTCAATGGCAACATATTTCAAAGTAGACTGAAAATCTATCATAAATATAATAATGGAAATATTGAATTGGAAACTCTGTGTCAAAAATCACTCAATCTCTTCACAATGTTTCCATGAGCAAATTTTGCACTAAATATGATCATATTTCACATTACTGTTTCAAAATGAAACGATAAACATTTTACTGGGTATAGTGTATAGCTATAGTGTAGAGTTAGTTCATGACTATCAATTAGAATAAATATATCATGGAAACTGTTCTGAAGGTAAATGTTACATTAGTTAAAACATAACAACAAAAATACATCCATTCATTCATTTATTTAGCAATGACTTATTCAGTATTTATTTTATATTTCTAGTACTATGTACTACATAATACTAGTAGTATTCTGGTCCGTATGTACTCAGCGATGAGCTAATAATGTCTCTGTCCTAAAGAAATTCAGTAGTGATAAAAGCAGAAATATATATTACTAATTGCAAAACAGAGTCTCAAGTACACAGGACAACAGTGGTGCAAAGATTGAGTAATTCTGCGGAGGGTAGGCAGGGGAGAGAAGGGAAGGCTCCCTAAAAGAGGGAATGCTTGAGGTGAAGTTTAAGAGATGAGTTTATCATGTGAGAACCAATGAACGAGAGGCTATTAAACAAAGGAAAGAGTCTATACAAAGTCACAGAGGCATGGGTTAGTACGGTGCATGGTGAGAAGAGATCAGGGGAGAATTAAATTTTAAGCAGGGTCCAATTTGTGAAAGGCTTTACAGACTAACCTAAAGGGTAGTATAATTGAATGCATAAATTAATGAAAGTGAAAATTACCTAATCTCTGACATGTCAAATTCCTTACCTTGGGACCTAGATACTTTCCTTTCCTCTGCCTGAAAAGTCCATCCCCAGATTTTTACACAATTGATTACTGTTCCTCATTTAAAATCATTAAAAATCATTTCTTAGGAGAGGTCTTTCCACACCACCTAACTAAAATAGTACCACCCCACTATACCCACCTGTTAACATTCCATTTCCTTTGTTTTTAAATCAATAGAGAATAGAAAGAGAATAAATACCAATTTTACAACTTTACGTAACATACCCCACATCCCCTTGATGTTTAATCTCTTTATTCTCATAAACGAGGCTGAGAAAATCATGGAAATTGCTAAATAACATTTGGTGTAGTACAGACTCTAGGGACTTGTTAGCTGGCACTAGTCCCTTTATCCTGTAATGAATGTATTTTGTTCACTAGTAGCTATATGAGTATAGCTAAAAGAAAACACTCTTTCAGAGGTATTTGCTTTTTATTATCTCACAAGGATAAATCTCTAAGGCAAAATTATCAGTCGATATGACAAAACATAGTGAAGCATTTTGGAGAGAGCAGAAAAGATGTTTCTAGCCCTTTAAATCATACCATATGCAAATCTGCCTACCCTTGAGGAGGGGCCTGCATTTGTCTCCAGAGAAAAGGGCTAGGAAGTAAATCTCCATTAGTCCTGGGAAAACTTAAACTTCATTTATGTAGCTTCCTGCTAAAGTGGGAGCTTCAGGGAATATTTATACATAAGTTGACATTCTCTAAAATATTTTGGGGGCTTAAAAAGAAAAATGTAGTATGTTTGTTCTTCTTGTGGCCTGTAAAGTGTTTAAATGAGTCCCTATACCTTTGCAGTCATACAGTCAAACAGACCAAATATATACGATGCTTTACCTCTTCAAATTTGATTTAGGAAAAAAAGGAATACTTACTGTTGTGAAATTAAGGCAATATTTCCTTATCTCTAGTTCTCCTTTTAAGATACTGTTGACAATATAAATACAGGTTCAAATACAGTCTAAAGTAAAAAGCATAATGACATTAAAATGTTAGTAAAGTGGCATGACTACACTATAAAATAATTTATTATATGCAAATTAAGACACAAACTAGTGGAATTCATTAAAGTCTATACCATATATACTATAGTAATTGACTGATATCACAATCAATACTAACCGTAGGTAAAAATATTCATAATTGTCCCTAAATAACATGGTCAAAATTTATCACACCTTTATGTAAAAATTCAAATTGTATTATACTTATTTATTCATAGTATATTTTCAGTTACACAAAGTACATTGCACATTAGACAGACATTAGTTAAATTTATATTATAAATTTACAATATTAAAGTTGTGGCAGTGGTTTTCAAATATCTGACACCTTTAGGGCTAATGACTTATTCAAGATAAGGTTAGAAGATGTATTGGAAAAGGATCAGGAACGATACCACAAAATTAATACAAGGCAACAATGGGAGCAGTTGATTGGAACAGCATACATTAAATATTAAGAGTGCTCATGAGAGGGAAGTAAGAAGCCTATCATGTGCGTTCCTGCTCACGTCAGATGTGCAGAACGCTTTAAAAGAACATTTGGAAACCGAAGCATCACTTAAAGGTACTGAACAGAATGATGGAGGCCTGGTGTTTGAGTGTTCAACACTGACATATGGAAAGCAGCGGTGGCTTTAACGCTTAATGGTTAAGCTAACATGGCTCCACAACAAATAAGTCAAGCTTTATAAGTAAAAATGTGCATTACCTGATTTCACTTGTTCTTTACGAAGCTAGACTAGCTTCATGTTATCACTCCTTTCTCTTGATGAGCTAATTTTTGTGGCCTATAGTTTGTGGAGTTCATCTTTCTCCTCTTCAGAAATTCGTGGCAGCTTTGCTTTCACCCATCTTCTACTGATTCCCTTACTGTCCACTTTTCTTCAGGTTATAGACAATGGCTTGCCAAACCTCCAGGTTCTTTTTTTGCCCTAGGACTTCACTGAGAGAAGTTGGAAGATTAAAATCCTCTAAAGCAATTAAGTGATTTCCGGTTATCCCATAACCCACCTTAAACTACAATTTTCTCTTAAAGGAATTTACCCTCCATTTTTCGCTTTTAAAATTATTCTCCTTGATAGATAAAATGGTATACAGTTGTTTCAAAACGTTAACACCTTCCCAGATGGCAAACGTCTTGCTTTTCTTAATCTTTTAAAATGCATTTAAAATGTTTGGGTTTACTTTATTAGTATCAGTTGATTCTGTACTTAATTTAAAAGATACATTTGACCCTCTCATATTCATTGTAGTTATCTATCTCCTGTTTTCCTCCTACTGTATTTTCCTTCCTTCATTCTACTTCTGTGAGGAATATAAACATAAGTCATGCTCTCATGACTTAGCCTGAAGCTGATATGTCTAGAATGTTATA